TTTTCAATATTGCGATAAATACCGTACCGTGGACTTGTTATCGCGATATTATCGTACCGTGAGTTTTTGGTATCGTTACATCCCTATTGGATAATGAGAACCGTAAATAACCTACTTCTCGTGGCAGATACCAATAATGTTTTGATTAGATTATACATAATGTTTACATGAGAATTATTATAAATAAATACAAAATTAATCTGTCAAATTGATATACAAAAATATAACTGATTCTAAATGATGTATAACAAATAATCTCCTTAATTACACATCCAAAAAGGGGTGGGAAGAAGATAATCTAATTTCAATTTTGTAAAGATGATAACCTGTAGTTTATTTAGTTAAGAGTTAAGATTTGTTCGTAAATATTGTTTATTTTTTCAACACTGACATAACATGGTCTAACCTCAATTGTTTACTACAAAAACTACGAACAGTTTTGTTTATTCAAATGATCTTTTTCAAGTAGAGCACATCTAAAAAACGTAGTGCATAATGGTGCATCCCTAGGATCACATGAGATATAATCCCTCTGTGTCTAGCCTCAAACGGTCACCTGTCTGATTTCACCTACAGCAAAGAAAAGTACACAACTATAGATGAAGGCCCCGCCAAAATAATCCACATACCTTTTTGTCTTTATCTTAAATGAGCTGCTGCACAGTGTGTGTTTCACTAATGTACATTAACATATTGGGTATTTTGTAGGCGCTGGTAGAGAAACCATCCAGTGAAGATAAGAAAACATTCCGCTATCTCACCATAGAGGAGGACAAAGCATCCTTGGGTACGTTTCCTATTTGAATATGATAAATGAGGGTTTGATATGCAATGGAAATCTGAAAGAATTCCTTACTTCATGTTTTTTATGTGTTTTGTCTCCAAAGGGATATACCATGTGTTCCTTCTTATAGAGGATGGGTTCTTCCACATTTCAAACCTTGCATTGGCAGAGATCGAGACAGGTATCAAAACATCAAGTGCAGAAGGGTTACATTTATGATGGAGACAGATGTTAACTAAATTAAACTTCTTTTGTTTACACAGCTATGGAAAAAATGGATATGGGATCTTTGAAAGAGGTAAGTTAAAACAACCTGCTTTTCATACAAATGCAAACTTTTCTTTACAGCAGAACTTTGAATAATCTTCTGTTCCACTCAGCTCCAGTCGCTCATGAAGATAGACTTCTGCTCCACCAGCGAACACCACGAGGAGGGCTGCAGCACAGCAGTCGTGTTCAACATGGGCCCCGAAATCCACTTAATGATCGGGGTCAGTGAGAGAAAAAAGTGTATTTACCAAAAGGCAGTTTTGATACATTGGTTGCTTGTGAATAAAAGCATATTATAGACAACATCAAATACAATCTTTACTTTTGGACAATTTACTTAACTTTTAGTTCAATCCTTTTCATACGTTGCTCTTGCAGGTCTCCTTTCCCTGCAAATGAATTGTGTTTTAAAGATAAAATTGAAACTAAGCTTTACCAGGATATTTACACAAACTCTAAATTAAGTTTTATGATATATACATTTCCAGAAATAATAGTTATACCTTTATATAAAGCAGTAAAACCACATGTTTTTCTCTATGTCAATTGTCACATTATTTCCCTAACAGGGGGATAACGAAAATGTTTTGACTCACTGGACGATGGACCCTCGTCAGACCAAGATGTGTCTTACTCACTCTGTGGACAACAGCTTAATTCCAGGTGAGGTCTTTCTTGTGCCTTTTTAAGACACTTAACATTTGAGTGATGAATCAAAAATGCAGGCTCTTGGACACAGATGTATATAGATTATAAGTTTTGGGTAAAAGATACCAAGTGAAAACACAACATGGTGATGGTTTTATCACATGTTCTCCTCATGTTTACTCCAAAGGTGTGAGGAAGATGGTGGTGGCAGACAACCTCTTGTATGTTCTTGACACCGAGGTGAGTTTAGTTGGCATCACGTGTATCTGTTGTGTATTCCTTTGTATGAGTTTCCATTAAAAGTGTGTGAGTTTTACAAATGGATGACTTTGTGTTTTTGCAGGATTCCCTGAGTCTTTGGGACCTACACTTTCTGGTCATGGTTCACTGCTGGCAGGATCTTGCTATTCATGACTTTGAACTCACTACAGAATGTGGCTCTGCTTCCAGAGTGGCGTGAGTATCAATGTTTCTTCACATACTGTAGCTATAGAATATACAAAGGAATTCATCTATTTGTAATGAATTAAATGTGTGTATTTCAGCCAAGACACGGGCAGCATGAAGATGATCACACTGATTAAGCAAGACAACAGTCAGGTAGCAGTACTACTCCTTTTGAAGACATTTCAATTGATGATTATTATCGTAAATCCCAGACTTCTGATCTTAATACACAGTTTTTTTATTGTTCAGATCAACTCAATGCAAATAAGATGTCTGCCCTCCATGACGGTCTGCTACTCTCTGGATGTCTCCTCTGTCTCTTGTCTTGTCCAGACAAACATAAACATGGTAAACAATCAACACTTACTAAATAAAGTTGTATGTATGCATCTATTGACATGTGCTCGTTCTAGATGGTAATATTCCTGCACATTTAAGTGACCTGTTTTATCCTTTGATTTCAGGATACGATCTATTTGGTGGAGGGGATTTGTGAGAACCCAGAAAGGTGGGATATGTTCTTTAAAGGGGACCTATCATGCAAAATGCACTTTTTGATGTCTTTTATACATAAATATGTGTCCCCGGTGTGTCGGGGAACTCGCGCAGCGTCAGAAAATAAAACCCTCTCTTTTCCTCCGTACCCAAATCTCCAAAAACGGGGAACAACGGAGCTGATCCAGATTTGCGTCCGAAACGTTGCTATCAGAAACAATGCCCGACTGTTTTGGACGTAATATGGTCGGTGTTTACATTAGCATCGCTAACACTCAGAGCTAACCTGTACTGCAGAGCATGTGTGTGAAGAAGCAGGAAATGAAAAGGAACTCACCTTGTGGTATAACCGGCAAGAGAGAAAGCCTTTGAGCTCCATACTGTTTCAGAGATAATCCTTGATCATCCATGATGTGGCGTTTCATCACGGCAGAATTTAGTTTGGACAGTAGCTGCCGGGTCCCGCATGAGCTCAGCCCCCTCCTTTTTTTAATAATCTATTTTTAAAGCTTTATACCCCAAATCAGCACTTTTGAAACAGGAAGTGAAATAGAGGGATATG